AATGCATTGAAGCAACTGCTAAATGCATTGAAGCAACTGCCATGTGATTGGTTGATTAGATAATTGCATTAATGAGAAATTGAACAGGTGTTCCTAATAATCCTTTAGGTGAGTGTATATATACACACACACACTATTTCATATATATCTGTATGTTTATGTATGTTAAGAATTCCCTGTAATTAGTTTTACATATGAATATTTATATACATACACAAAATATATTGTGATGCCCCAGGGTCGGGTAATAAACACTTTAGTAATTCAAATAATGGCATGCTTAGTCCCACATTGTCATAGTAAATAACTTGTCAATTAATGTGTGCATTTGTGTATTTATGTTGTATATAGTAAATGTTTTTATATTGTGCTGAATGTAATGTTTGCCGTGTGGTTGCATAGCGCTTAACCTGACTGTGATTATTGTGTGAAATGTAGGCTTTTCCTGACTGTGCCACTGCTGATTGTCCCTAGCAGTGCACTGCTATTAAAGGTGAACTCCTTGTTTATATAAACAAGATAAAACATGACCCACCGCACTGATTCAGCTGCAGTATGCATATTTGTGCTAAATTTTAACCTGTTCATGTTATACTGGTTACACTAAATAAATACTGGAGGACACCTGTTATTTTAGTGATTAAATTATATTTATTACTATGTTAAAAACATGATAAAAATTAAATATCTTATTTAAGGCAGAAAAGAATAAACATTCACAAGAAATTCATAAAGAAAAATAAAGCTTTTAACAATGATTAAAAATAAAGATCGAAATCTGAAAGGGAGCACATTCTTCAATGCCCAAAGTACGCAATCAGTCCAAAAACTGGATAATAGACTTTAACGATAGGAAACTGCAAAACCAGGCAAAGACACCTAGGCCTGATTTACAGATAAAATGTTGAGATGAGATGTGTAGCTTATGTTTGATTTGCATGCAGGTGAGAAGAATTAAATAAAACAGAAAGCTGAAATTAATGAAAGCTCAAGACATTGTAACTTAACAGCAGCCTCTACAGCATCACCCTCAATGAAGTGTCTGAAATACAGGTGTAGGCCCATACCGGCGATAAAAATCGATACATTCACCAGCCAGCACAAGACCTCAAAATAACCCTCAAGGTTTTACAAAGATAACTGTCAAAGATCACCCATCACAGGTGGGGATTATTTTACTTAAAAGAGCAGAATGTTAATGATTAGCCTTAAGCTTGCCATTAAAATATACAGCATGTTTTCCTAACATCGTTTCTTACGAAAAGTATGCCTTTTAAAATGAACATTTATGCGCATGGAAAAACAGCATCTTCACAAAATAATCTTTTACTTTTATTTTCTTTAATTTTTTAAGTGCATTCCTGTTCCTCTGTACAGATTATTTATTTACCTCCATTTGCTCAATCACAATGGTACAGTGGTGCAGCCGTCTTACACAAAGAAAGGATAATGTAAATCAACTGCCTAACAGAAAACATACAGTGAGGTTAGGAAAATGTTTAGTTTAATATAAATGTCAGATTTACAGAACACTGAATATATTTGGAATACATCATCTAGGAGTGTTTCCCCTACGTCGGACCTGGGGCTGTTCTGGGCAATTTGTCATACTTTGCACAATTTGTATGCATGAATCACAAATACAGAGCCTGCTTGCCTTTGACAAAAACATAACACTCGGTCTTCTTTGGCTTGATGCTACTGTACATGCTTGGTCGTGTGGTTCCTACCACCACCACAATACATCTAACCCAAAGAGACATCTTACAGACTAATTAAATACTTAACACCATGCATTTTAAAGGTGAAACGATAATCATTCATTTCTGCAACTCTTTTCTACACATTTATTCCAATGGTGTCTGCTGGTGAATGTAAACAAATGTGTTTAATACGGTGGGACAGCAGGCTGAGCAGAGGAGCTAAGCTGAGGTTCTACTGCGGGACAGTCACTATGTTTTGAAGCATAAATTTAAGCATTACAATATCCAGAGTCTACACAGCCTACAGAGATGGGCATCTGGACAGCAAAGACATAAAAGAGATTCATAGCTTGGGAACATCTTACCCTATAACACCCAAACTGACCAAAGCGCCACACGAAACACCTACACTAAACAGTGGAAGGGCTCACAGCCTTCAGATAAACCCGTACACAATAAGTTAGCAGTTGTTTCAAGACTAATATGGATGTTTGGAAGACCATACCCTGCTCCATTTCCCAGAAAACACACACAAGTCTATTAACTGATTGACTCAGTCCAGAATTCTTATTATCTGATTCTCAATCATTAGCAGGATTTTTGTAATTCACAATGAATGCAAAATCCTTTCTGTTACAACAACAATGGAAGTAACCACAGGTACTTCACCTTGTTTAAAAGGTCATCCAGGTTATGGGTATACAGGTAAGTAGAAAGATCTGTTATATCTGAGAGACATAATTTCTTGTGCAGGAGATAAAAAATAAATAAAAGAACACTTCACTCTTCTTAAGACATTTCATAGCCAAATCTACTCCAGGTTACCTTCAGCTTTATTTATAAATACAAATATGGCAGCACTGCTTGAATTAATTCCAGAGCATTTTCTTATGTGTGCAATAAAAAGCAACGTGTATTAAATAATTACCATTGCACAGTTCGAGGAAGAAAAAAATGTATACATGACAAGGCAACATCTTTTTAAAAATTAAAACACAGAAAAAAAACACTAGAGCAAAAGAAAAATGCTATGCAACCTTGTGGACAAAACTTTCATACTTGCCAGTTAAGCACACGATGCAGCACATCACAAGCACAGCACATCCTCACAGTGCACACTGAGCACATCACAAAAGCTGTTCCAATTTCCTGCAGGTTTTGGATGTTTGAGCACCACATGATCCTTAAAGCATGAATGTACCTATCCGCACTTACCGAGTCAATAGAAATAAATAGAGGAGAAACAAAATGCATACCGAGTCACTTAAAAGGCCTCTGTCACACGACCAGGTGAAATTTCTGTAGTAAATACTGCCCACGTATAATATTCATATATTATGATGTCAGCTATAGCATCCATTTGTTGACCCCATTAAATGCATCAGCTGTTTAATGCTACAAACAAATTGTAAAACATAAGATAATGCAAGATAAACAAAATGACAAAACAATGAGGTTCCCCCATTCAACCCCGCCACAGCCTGCCTACTGGACACTTAGTATTTGCATTCTTCTCAGGGAGGCAATGCTGTGTTTTCAAAAAACAATCTGCATTATCATGAGTTATATCTTGTTCAATACATTCATTTCAAACACACATTGGAGATCTTCTCCGCTTTCTTTCGCTTTTGTGTCATTCCATATTTATACAATGACATGATGGTTCAGACTGCCTCCACATGACCTGGCAGTCTTGACCGTGACCTGGCCAGTCCACAGCACTCAGCTCTGGCTGCCGGCGCCCGCCAGGCTCTTCCTGCGCACCTCGCTGGGCTTCTTGCCTGTGGCGTTAGCAGCTGAGCTTCGGGCCCCTCGTGTCGGGGGCTGGGAAGCCAATGTGGGCTTTGCCCCAGCTGGTGGGACCTTGTTGAGTGGGTCAGTACTTCGTCCAGGCTCAATAATAGTGTTTATAACTAAAAACAGAAAGAAACAGAGTAATGCAGAAATCCCCTGGCAGCTAATCTTACATACGCACAATAAGAGGCCTATATGTTTTCACATGTATTTTCACATTTAGCACTGAAAAACAAAACCATATAAAGGCAGTATGTAGAAGAAATGGATCATTTTTGATCAAATGTATTGAAATGATGGACAAAAATTGTATGGACATATCCTGATAGGAACTGTACATTCCGGCACTACAATGCAATGAACATAAGAACATAAGAACTATACAAACGAGAGGAGGCCATTCGGTCCATCGAGCTCACTTGGGGAGAACTTAACTAATACAGTAGCTCAGAGTTGTTAAAATCTTAACTAGCTCTGATTTAAAGGAACTCAAAGATTCAGCTTGCACTATGTTATCAGGAAGACTATTCCATACTCTGACTACACGCTGTGTAAAAAAAGTGCTTCCTTAAATCCAGTTTGAAATGTTCTCCTGCTAATTTCCACCTACTGTATGGCCACGAGTTCTTGTATTTGAACTAATGTTGAAGTAACTATTCGGTTGAACAGCATCCAAACCTGTTAGAATCTTATAGACCAGGATCATGTCCCTCCTCAGTCTCCTTTGCTTGAGGCTGAACAGATTTAGCTCAACTAACCTTTCCTCGTATGACATTCCTCTAAGACCAGGAATCATTCTTGTGGCCCTACGCTGCACCTTTTCTAAGGCCGCAATGTCCTTTTTAAGATATGGTGACCAAACCTGCACACAATATTCTAGGTGAGGTCTCACCAAGGAATTGTATAATCTTAGCATTACCTCCCTTGACTTAAAGTCCACACACCTGGAGATATACCCCAACATCCTATTGGCCTTTTTTATTGCTTCTCCGCACTGGCGAGAATGAGACATGGAAGCATCAA